AACTCTTTGGACCATTTATATACTTATTGAAAACAAGCTACACCTTGGAAAAATGCCGTTTCATACTTTTTAATAGCCTTCATTTTCGCTAAATTGATTTATCAACTTTTAATTAAGACCCCGCGGACACCCTGTCAATATAAAAAATCTAAAGTTTTACCAATGGCCAAAAGAACTGAAATGTGCACACTTTCAAAAATAATTGAGTCTATAGATTACTTTGTTGAGATTAGCTAAAAACCATCCTGTTATAAAGCAGGTCGTGACAGTATGCCATGGTGATGAATGGAAAGGCATGATTAGCACTGTCATATAAGCCTTTTTACAGCCATAGTGTAACACATAACTGACATCAAGTATATTCTGTCTTTAAAAAACACTAGATTTACCCCTCGAAGCGAGTGTTGTCAGCCGAGGCAAAAGCCACCAATCCGAGAAGCAGGAGGACCTTCATGTTGTCAGTGAAGTTGAACAGGTCGCTTCACAGCATTTTATATCCCCGACCTGCCGCCAATCCACCAATCCCCATCTGTGATGAAGCCGGGTCGCACGTCCTCCCCAAAAAAAGCCACCTGTTGCTGTTAGGAGCTACGTGGAGGAACGAGGGCCCGCACCACGCACAGTCAATCATTAATAGATGCTGATTACGGGGTTACTTGAATTGAATTCCTACTAAATACCTAGTTTAGAAATGAAAAAACAACAACTGAGTACTGTGGATTTTTTTCATTTTATTCATATATTCACAAACTGTACATTCAACATGTTTAAATACCACAAAGACAACCACCAAAAATAAATTGACAATGATCACACTGCCTGGAATGTTTGTGTTTTTATACAGCATGTTTCTCCCAAGCTCGACCGCATTATGCAAACACTTAGTTATCATAATCAGTATGTAATCAAACTTACATCACATTCGTGTACACCAATGGTTCCATACACAGCTACTGGCAGAGTATGCAAGGTGGTTATTCTTTCTAAGCTTTGCTGAGCTCTTGATCACTGCTCCAACGTGTGAACCTGCCGAGCACACAGAAACTAAAATATGTTAGGCGGCAAAATGTTGCAGTGCATGCATATGTTATATAAATAATGGGATAAGCCATCTGTAATCATGTATAGTCTGTTCTAGCCTTCATGGAGTGAACGCCTGGGTTTCTGTGTCATTTGTTTTACAGGCTTGTAGAGAAGCATTGGAGTGTTGTGTGACATGTGACGGGTAGTAGATGTCTTACAGAGGGACATGAATACAACATTTAAAGCATTCTGCGTGGTTCAGTGCTTTTGAATACAGTTGGGGTTGGAGAAGTATGGAACGTCTCCGTCCCCGGCCCCTTAACCACAGACCAGAAGAGCGGGGAGAGCGACCTTGAACCCACTTTCTTTTCTTTTTGTCACTTAACGTCAGAGGACTTGCTTTTGGACGTGAGGCTCAGTGCTTCGGAGGCCCGGAAAGAGAGGGCGCTCATCTTGGAGCTGATGCTGGGGTGCTGCCCGGTGGAGACGCTGGGCGAGCAGCGCAGCAGACGCATTAAGTTTTTGCGGAAGTTGCGCCCGACAAAGCCGTACACGATGGGGTTAACGCAGCTGTTGAAGAAGGCGATGCAGATGGTGAAGGGTATGGCGGTGTCGATGATCTCCAGGATGTTGCAGTTCTCCACCAGGGCCAGCTGGCTGATGACCTGCATCAAGTGAAACACCTGATGGGGCATCCAGCACAGGAAGAAGGCCAGGACAGCGGCAGCGAGCATGCGCAGTACCTCGTCGTCGCGGGAATGGGAGCTCTTCTGGATGTGTCTCGCCCCCACCAGCGCCCGGCCAATGAGGCAGTAACACGTGATGATGATGATGAAGGGCACCAGGAAGCCCAGCAGGCTCTTCGTCAGGCTGATGGCCAGCAGGGCCTTTTGTATACTCAAGGACCTTTCCTTAGGATGCAGAATGCCACACACTTTGCTGTGGTTTTTGAAGTCGTGGACCTCCCTGGTCAGCGCCGTGGGAACACTGAGCAGAAAGGCAACGAACCAGATCACCACACAGGAGATGCGAGCGTACACTACGGTGCGCAGCATGCGGGATCGCATCGGGTGGACGATGGCGAGGTAGCGGTCGATGCTGAGCGCCGTGAGGATGAAGATGCTGGTGTAGAGGTTAAAGGTCGCCAGCCCGGCACTGGCCTTGCACAGGAATCCCCCAAAGGGCCAGTTGTAGCCTGTGGCGGTGTAGGTGGCCCACATGGGCAGTGTGATGAGGAACATGAGGTCAGAAATTGCGAGATTGAGCACCAATATGTTGGCCACCGTCTTGAGCTTCATGTAGGAGTAGATTACAGCCACAACCATACAGTTCCCCACGATGCCGATGACAAAGTTACAGCCGTAGACGATGGGTATCAGGGTGAAGATGAATGAGTGGATTCCAGACAGGCCGCATGTCAGAGATATCTCTGCTGTTACATTCTTCATTTTCCCTTTTTAGTGCCAGATCCTGGGACTTTTTAAACAGAGGGGCCTGACGGCAGGGGGCGTCTGTGGTGACTGATACAGGCCTTGGGCGAGGGCCTCAGCGAGTCCTATAAAAGAAAAACACAAAAATGTCACAGGCAGTCTATTGGAAGAGCCGTCATTACCGCTGGCACGCTCCATAAACGCTAATCCACACAAGCACCAATGAAAGTGCTCACCCTACACCAGCTCATTAAAGACCTGCACATTAAAGCCATCCTGACGCTTTATGTTATTTCTGTAAAATAAGGAGCCATGAAAAACAGATGTTGTATGTTATTCAATATTCCAAAATGTACATCATTAATCAGACAGTCTGCATTCTGCCCTCCTTTAAACTGTCTCCGGGCTAATGAACGGCAACAGTAAAACAGTACAGTGTTTATGAAATGGCCCGTCCATCTGGGTGGACCGTCAGACCCGGAAGGAGAACGTTTATGCCTCGTGTTACGACCTGTGTTAATGAAGAGTGCATGGCAGAGTGCGAGCTTGGATACCAGCGCCATTAAAACACTGAGGTACTAAGAGGGGGTTGAGGCTCCAGTCACTGTAAAAGACATGTCACGTTTCAAACCCTCGGTGTGCGGAGATACATTGTACCCAGCATGAGAAATTCTAATCAGCACACACCTAAACAAACAGGACAGCAGGGATTCGGCTCTGTGGAAACTTTGCTCTGTGAGAAAATCAAACCTGCTTGCTGGGGAGACATTTGCCTCGGGGCTAGTTTTTGCTTCATTTGTACCAGCAGAATGTGAAACGGGAATAAAAACAAATCGGCTTAGTGAGTGTCATTAGTGGCCCTGATGAAGTAATATTAGCATAATCCTCATATTCTATGACTATAGCTGCAATTATGTTACTAATTACATGACAACATGTTTGTGGTAGCATTAAAACCACACAGATGCTTGGGGGGAAACTGAATTTGGAGCCCAAACGCATAAAAATACAGAGAGAAAAACATATTTTTAGAATACACAACAGACTTTTTTTTCTATAATACAGATGAGAATTCTCACAATAAATGTGGAAGTCCTCAAATTAGGAATTTCACTTTTAAAAAAAAGCTGATGTCTTGCCACAAGATGGCATTCAAGCTTCAAGGTTTTTATTCTCAATTGACACATCATGTTGGAAATTATCAAACATATTTGAAAAAACATGCCATCCAGTTGCTGCTGTTTCTGTTACACATCCAGCTCTAATATTTGAACGCACTTTATAAATCCTTCCTTATCTGCGTTCATATTGCCCTAAGCTGGCGTTAGGACGGTCTGAGACCAGAGAAGTATTTGATCTCTCCGTCCGAGATCTCCTCATTATCCAGCTGGATTCAGAGGGATGAAGTCTTTGAAAAGCCCTGCGTGAACTAAAGCAACCACGCTATCGTTTGCAGATGTGGGGAATGTGAGTTTGGAAGACGTGTAACAGCCAAGGGCAACAGAGTAATGAAATATCTGTGCGTAGAAGTAGGTAAAGCAGTCATTGCACACATGTGTTTTCATGTGACAATTCTGCAGTTAAGAGTTTTAAATCTTGTTTTCAAGAAGATGTTTCATGACCACAAATGGGAACCACATGCCTTTTACCATAACTGGAAAGGCTGGCATGTTAAACGGCAGTATTTTTCCATGATGGCGAGGGGACGTGTGTGGGGAGTGTATATAAACAAGGCTGAAAGTTATTGCGGCCTATATATGTAAGTGAGCCCCGGTCATAAAGGTGAGGTGGCACGGACAGAAGGTGAGTCGGACGCAGGTGATTTAGTGAGCCACAGCCTCGGGAGTAAGATGGCACATTACTGAATGACAGCCATAAACCCCGGGTGACCGCAGACAGGAAGGTAAACAGCTACTTCACAAGGTGCAAGCTGCATCCTCCCTCAAGACAACGGACAGTTTGCAAACACATATACAATAACATCTGGGGACAATTCTGGCTCCTCTATGAATACTACGTTAGCCACATTCTATTTCTAATCCTATCTCTGGGTATTTGAACGCAACCCCATTTCTGGAATCATGGGAATTTCTTCGAAAGCTTAAACCACAGCAGAGTTGAACTGGATGGAGTCCCCATCAACAGAGCTATCTGAGGAATGAGCACCACCATCTGGCTGCCCATAGAGAGAGCCACTAAAATGTCTTCTTGATGGAGTTAATGATTTATCTCAACCCATTACGAAGGAAGGTTCATTTTAATGGGAACACATCACCTCCGCCGCCCACCTTGTGATCGTCCTCTCGTTTCAGGAGCGATAGGTAAACAACGCTTTAAAGATGGGTGATGTGTGCATGCTTAATGTCCAGTCTCTTTGGGTTCAGGTTCTTTATTTGTACCCGTATGTAGATTTAGTTTGCAGATAAATCCATCCTGACACACTCTAAAAACAAAAACAGACAACATGCACATCTCTAATAAAAGTACGCCCTGCTCCGTCTTTGAATAAGTTCAAGAATATCAGTTGAATTCCGAGCTACCCGCCACCAACAAGTGACAATCTAAGACTAATGTGCAGTTATACTTCATGTAGAGTGATACTATGCATCTTGAACGTATCCTCTTACAACTCACTTCCTCCTCTGTCTCATCTTACGGCCTCTCACTTCAGATGAAGAGTTTTTAAAGTAGGCAACTTGACAAAGAGCAAACTCTCTGTAAGTAACTCTTACATTTGATAGTGCCAGATGAAATTGCATCAATCAAACAAACTTGACGTTTTTTAAAACAAACATGTTCAGAGAAAAGCATAACATTGTGATTAAGCGCGTGTGTGTGTGTGTGTGTGTGTGTGTGTGTGTGTGTGTGTGGTGTGTGTGTGTGTGTGTGTGTGTGTGTGTGTGTGTGTGTGTGTGACAGTGACCATGGTCTAAATGAGGACTTGTTCTTCCCAGAGACGGGCTAATGGAAGCATTGGCATCAGTAACCATGTCTGAATTTATCTGTTTACCAAACGGCGCTTTGATGTGCGTTCCACAATTAAACAGCTCAACCTTTAACCTAACTTCTTGCACTGTATTTTAGGAAACACACTGCCGGCGTTGACATAAAATCACAAATGATAAATCCTTTAATCTCCAGTTTATTTTCAATCATGGAGATAGTTTGTTCTCTCCAACCTGAGGTCATATTAAATAACATGTTTACTGCCTCTCAAGAGGAACAATTATCTGGAACTTAAGTGGGTCAAGTAAGAACCTATACAAAGCCTATGGTTTAAGACCCTGATGTTGAGCAGCCACTACTCCTTTCCTAACATCCAATCTGCAGTATAACTCTTCTTCTATGGTTAGCCCCAAGACTGATCATTAAAACCTCAACTGTTTTTCTTCCCTTGCTTTTCCACCATCTCCTCATTTTCCTCTCTACCTCCAGATTAAATTCTTCATGAAGCGAGCGAACAGCTACTGTTTATCAGGAAGTCCTCTATGGGGAAATGAGACAAAGTGAATTTCACCAAGGACTCCATCCTTCTCTTTCGAATAGTCTTAGAAACATGAGCTTCTGGACTTTTCTACCAGTCACGGTGCTGCAGGATTTGTTTAAAAGGCTCTGCACACACAGGACTTCCACATGAACAAGTTGGACAAACATGTGGCACAGATCAAGCCGGTGAAAAAATACAATATGACGTTTTGTTCCATGCATTTGTTGCGTCCATCAGCGATTCCCAACAAAAGGGCTTTTATAACAGACACTGAATTTAGGAAACCCCTCAAATCTGAGAGAGAAGCTATAACAAAAAGTCACATTTTAAGAGTTTAAAGACTTAAAAATGTGTTTAAAAAAGTTGTTAAAACATCTTCCTGAGGGTGAGGTAATGTGAGCTCTTACCTGTGGTGCTGAATCAGGAAGCTGTCGATGCTTTCGGAGCGGGACAGACGCAGAGATAGAGAGACCACCGCGGTGTGCCAGAGGCTGCCTCTGATTTAACTTAACTGGTGGAGCGAGACGAGCAGGAATACCATCTGACACACAAACACACTCACACACACCCCCCCCCAACTCTCTCTCTCTCTCTCTCACACACACACTGCAATGATGAATGAATTGCATCGTCAGATTGTCCTGGCCCATCTCTCCGTGCGCACACACAAACAAACACACACACAAGATGTTACACAATACCCTCCTCCTCTTTACTCCCCGAGCACCACCCTCTCTCCTTAATGTCTGCTTTTAATCACTCGCTCGATCTTTCATATGATATTATCTGACAGGTAGAGCTGATTAAAGTGCCAAATCTGGGGCCTGCTGCATAATCTTTCGAGGGCGTTTAATTTAGCATTACCGTTTAATTAACCACGCAGCACTTTGGTTAAACTTTAATATCTCAACCACCTCCCTTCTTCTTCTGCTCTTCTCATCCCTCGTCTGTTGTCCTTTGCACAGCATGAAAGGGCTTTTGATTGTGATTAGACCTGTCGCTGACACGCTGTATTAATAGCCGCCACAAGTTGGCCCTTGGCCTGGGAGTATCAGGGGCTTGGAGAGAGGGGAGATTGGCGTGGTGGTGCCGGACAGTTGAGAACATTTACCGTTTTCTAATCAGATTTAGTTGTTTGTCAAACTTTTGTTGCGTTGGATGTATTGTTGTGAAGGTATGTCACGGTGACCCAGCTCCACTAGTCAAGTCGGCATTGTTTCAGTGTGTGACGGATGATCAATTCTTGGTAAAACTGTACTCCAAAGAGGTGCGATAAAAGAGTTTGATTGGTGTGAAAGGGAGGAATTTGAAGCCTGACATTGTGTAATGTAAGATTTCTATTTTTAGCAACATCCATCACACCCTCCTTGGCGCTAAAGATATATTTTTCTCACCATTCTTCTGTTTCCCAAGGTGTTGACAGGTGTTGAGAAGTGGGTCACATCCTCACCTCTCCGCCTCATGGATAGTGATGGATGAGTCGGTGTGGCTGTCTTCTCTAAATCCCCCTCAGTTTCTGTGTCCACAGTGTTGACGGTAAAGAAAGCCAACACCTGGGTAGAAAACAAACCAGGAAAGAAAGGAACACAAAACACTTCGTGATGAGTAGGGGTCCTGTTTGGTGGCTTTCACCCAATCAGGTGTGACGCAGTCATTTGACCCACATTTACTGAGCTGAATATCGGTCACACGGGGTCAAAAGGAACAACGTGGAAAACATGTCTGAAAATACATGACATGAAAATGCTCTAGTTTTTATTCTACTAAAGGTAGGTGTATTCGGGCCATCTTAATTTAATCACTGTTCATTGGTTACACAGTATTTCACAAGCACACAATCTCCCTGATAACTTTTATACGTATGCTGTATATAGCAACAAGTTTCAAGGTTAGCACTGATTGGAGTGCATGCAGTCACACTATGGTAAGCATGGTAACTCAGGAGCTAGGAAACCTGCCTATGGGTTTCCGATAAGCAACAAAAACGAGAAAGAGGAAGTTGTGTAAAGAAAAAGGACGATGTGTTCGTTATGCTCCACCATTGTAGGTTGAGGAAATACATTTGACTGCAAATATTAGAATCACATTTTTTAAATACGCACAAACACAAACTATAGACATGCAATATTTCTGCACCCAGGAGCATTTGAGGGTTTGTGGCCTTGCTTAAGGGTAGCAGTGGAGGCTAACCAGTCTACACTCAGGACTTGAACCGGCGACCCTTCGGTTCCCGAGCCGAGTCCCTGCAGACTGAGTCACTGCTGCCCCAAAAAGATATCACTGGGACAAAAACACAAAGTCCAACTTCTTATACCCGCTAATTATGATTTTGTTTTGTATTTTACAAAGTTGCCAGTGAGCCAAATGCTACCTCCATTCCCTAGCAAGAGGATGGACACTACACTTTGTCCAAAACAAAAGGAAAAGAAACAGAACATCATGCATTTGTTTTTTTCCCGCTGTTCTAAACTGGTACCGAGATTTTTGTTTACCGTTACACCCCTACTTTAAACCTGTCATTTTTCAGGAAGGGAGGGTTGCAGGGAGAAGGACAGTATCTCTCTCTGCCTGAAGCTCAGCAACAGAGTCATTTACACCTCCAGGGGATTATGATCAGACTCCATTATGTCTTCAATTTCTGTGAATGATAAGAATCATCCATTAGGCAAATGTTATCTTGTTGCGTATCCTGTCACAGCAACGAGCCCCTGTACGGTATCACTTGCATCGTCTTGGTCTCGCTGCTACAAGAATGATCAACAAATCTGTATCTGACCCTCGGGAACTCTCAGGAAGTTAGGAGAGAGTTATGTATGAAGCGGCGAATTTGCACTGCATTTTCCACAAAACAAATAATTCTCAGTAGGGACAGGATGTTGTTGCAACACCCCGCACTACAACGTTGATTTACACTCCTCGAGAACAAGCTAAAGCAGATGTTGATTATTTTTAAATGGAGATCTGCAGATGGGAAATAAAGTTTTCCTATGGGAGCTTTTTAAAATGGACGGGTGAGGTTTAATTCAGGTTGCAGTCGGTTAGTTTAGAGAGTACAACTTTATGTCCTGGCAATAAATTCAAAACACATAAAAAAAGATAATTCTTAGTGTTATGCAATACTTAGGAATCTAATGCAACTGTAGTAACAATCCAAGGAAAACAATCATGTATCATCTATTGGCTAATACATAATTTCTGGGTGAGTTAGGAGAAATAGTACAAGGCTTTATCTCAAGTGTTAATTCCCTGGAGATGTGATAGTGGGCAATGCTTCTTCTAATCAAATCACTCTAACAAGATAAGCTGTTAGCACTTAAGCTGTGTTAGAATGAATTGATGAGCAGGGTAATTACTGGCAGCACAGAAGACTGCAGGGAACGTCAGACCTTTTACACCACAGCAAAACAGGCACTTAAATGCCACACCATCACACAGCCACCTGCTGAAGAAAGACAATACTCTGTGAGGTCAGATGGCTGAGCTTTGACTGTAAACTGCTCACCTGTATTGATTGAGAGTCATATCTTATACATGTATAAACAACATGTCGCTGTGTGGTTCACATCAAAATCCACAAGTACATTTTTAAACTAGGGGCCAACTTCATTAAAACAAATGATCAAGAACATGATATGCATGTTTCCTTCCCCACATGTTATTCATCAGTAACTGTTTGAAATGCAAGTAGCCAAACTTCTTACATAAGAAGACACAAATGTAAAAAGACAGTGACCTGCAGAGCTAGGCAGGCTGACATGTTGTTTTAATGAACATCAGTTTTTCCTCAACAATATGTCAATCTTTTACATGTTTTATGTCTAATACAATAACACATTGCTTCATTTCTCCGAAATAAATTATTTCCCAACAGCAGACATTTGTTCTTGTCATAGCAGGAAACTCACAGGTGGAACTGATTACATTAAAAACCATTATGTTCCAGCAATCACTGTAATGAAATGCAGCAATTAGCGACATTAGATACACCTGTGTTTGACAGGACAGAAATGTTAGCAGTCCAACTTTACCTTTTAGGGTATTACTGAGGTTTTTGACTGTCTGATAAGAGTGTAAAGACACTACAAGAGAGGCACAAACCGGGGCTAGGTGAGCAATGATGCTAATTTGAAAAGATACGTTGAAAATACTGCAGTCAAGCTAGCTTACTACTAGCATTACTACATTAGTTATGTCGTGGCTTCCTTCCTTGCTTTCTATCCAAGCCACTTATGTGTGTTTGCGTTTACTGAAAATAAAATAATAAACCTTTTACACATTCAAAGAAAACAGGCCTTTACACTAGTAAAAACAAATCAAACAGGCCTTTACAATAATCAAAACATATCAAACAAAAGAGGCAAAACTCAAATAGAATAATAAACAACTTAAGTAGTCTTTATTTCTTTCTAAGTATACGCTTCTGTAGCTTTAAAAGGTAACTTCACGGTAATTTAATGGTAACTTAACGGTTAAAAACTGTGCCTCGAGGAGGGCCACTTTCTGACAGTTTGCCCATCTCTGTCTCTTTAGAGGAGGCGCCGTGGGAATTGTAGTCTTTTATACGTACTTGACTACAGAAATCACGGTGATGTGGCCCTGGCTCTAACAAGTTAAAAGGTGCATTTTTTCCCCCCGTAACATAATATAGCCATACAGTTTATGTTTATATATAGAAAATCTCCCTTTTCACAATAATGTGGTCAATAAAAATCAATGTGGAGCAATGAAGCTAACTCCAAACTGCCACAACACTTAATGCTAATGCTAATCTAATGAAGCATCTCATGAGCTAACGTTTACTAACCGTCGTCTTTCCGTTGCTTCAGGACGTCTTCACAAGAAAATAACTGCTGCTTCAGGGCCATTGAACTTCTTCATGTCTGTGTGTATCCCCGCGAAGCTACATTAAGGTAGGAGCTAGCTTGTTGTGCTTAATTGTAAGCTGTTGATGTTTGGCTGACAGGCTCTCGGTTGTTTCCCTTCAGATGTGTAGTGGTCTTGGTAGTGGCCTTGGCTGTTGATGACATGCAGTGTGTGCAAGTTGTGAAATGCTATAATATTTAGATGTGGCTGATCTATTAGGTATATTTGCATGATAATTGTGATGCTTAAATTATGTTGATTTTGTAAAATATGAATAATCTTGTTTACTTTTTGGTATTTGGATATTGGCTATATCCTCTTGCTGTAGGGAGGATTGTGGATTGTACTTGCGATGTAACCAGGGACTTGCTATTTCATACATTGTAGTGTTGGTTTCATTGAGGATTAAACAGGGCCTGTGTTATATTAATTTGTTATAACTCTTATGTGTCAGCTTGCTGAATTATTCTTAATTTTATAGCTGAAGTCCTGCTTTGTGGTTTCTGCTGCTGCTACAAATATCAACTCAATATCATATGAACCTTCCCCAGAATATCTGCCATTTTAATGACCTGACATATACATGCAGTAGTAATGTGCAAACCACTATATTATCATGTGTATCAGATATGTGTGGGATACATTCTTGTACATTAAGGATCTGAAGCTGTTTTCCACAAAAAAAAACCTGATATTAATGAAAAACTGATGTTTTGAACACTTTTATTGTACTTAAAAAGCATAATACAGTATACCAATCAACCCTGCTGAACTGTATGTTTATGAAGACA